CTAGCGGCCCGAAAATGCTAGGAGATGTAAAGAATGGGGTATCGGTCGTCCTCCCGGAAAATGGAACGTGGACGGACCTTTAACCAGCGTATCAAACGGTGATGCTGGAAGGAGAGGATGCTTTCCTTTGGATATAAACAATATGGACTAATATCAGCTTGATGAGGTTGTCACCAAGTTTAATGGATTTGGAATTCCAAGGGACAGTGGAAGCCCGGGGGTGGGTTTACTTGTCGCAAGATGGGAAAAAAACTATGATCATAGAGTTGACACTCGGGAATACGCCGGACGAGTTGTTTAGGAAGGCAGAAACAGAGGTTGTGTGGGCTGCATGTCAACGGAGGGAAATGGAAATGGAAAAGGTAGACGTACGGGTGGAACTTGGGGACAGAGGAAGCATGAGGCAACCCGTAAGAACCATGCGATGTGTGCTGCCCTCCTTCCTAGTGGATGTGGTTTTCGGAATCCGGAGCAGGCTAGTGCGAATATGCCTGTCCATGACGATCCTCGGGCTATACCAATGCGCTAGGCACGATTTTTTTCGGTTATCAGTAGAGATGGGACCGTTCGAGGGGAACTGGGCGGAGGAGCTGACCGATATACTAAACTGCCTTAGCATAGACAATATCTTTGTTCCTAGCACTGTGCATTGGGGGATAGTCTACAGGAATGTGGCAATAGGGGAGGGGTAAGGGAGTTGGTGTACGACGAGGAGGACGACTTCAGTGATGAAGATGAAGATGAAGAGATAGAGGACTGAGACTCCTAAGAAGGAAGGGGAAACTTAACTTAGGAAGGATGGGTGGCCTGGTATAGTGCAGGAAAGGGAAAGATGACTAGAGAAGAAAGGATGATGGAATACCTCTTCAAGGGCTGGGAACCATGGCGACTCAGAGGAGGAATAGAAAGGCCTATACCAACAGGGAACGGATGGAGAGGGACCACATGTGACTGGATTGGGTTTGAGGTTGCCCGGGACTTGTCATATGTATGGATAGAGCGGATTTGGAACCCGATAAGGGAAGAGGAAGGATGGGATGATATAGCAGAAGGCAAGGTAGAGTCAGTTGGAACGGTTGTCCGTTCCGAGGATGGATGGCACCTGTTTTGCATTATGTTAGCAATGGGACAGGGCCCGATGTGGCTTCTAGGGGATGTAGAGGCCCGAGCCCGAAAGGGAGGCAAGCTGTTCGCTAACGAGGGATGAGACGAAGTTAGTAGCAGAGTTGTGATGGGAGGATGGAAGGAACTCAAGCCTCCAAGTCTACGGATAAGGGATTGGGTACCGGAATTCATAGCTGAGTGGTTTGGGGGGTTTGAGCACATTTTAGAAGTACCCGACTCCATGTGAAAAGTGCATATAGAGTGTGTCTGGCTGACTGAGGAGTTCTATAGGCTCTCACTGAAATATGGGCTCTTCTACAGAGATAAAACCGAGGAAGTAATCATCGTCCTAAGAATAGGCAGGTATGACCGCCTAGAGGTAGAGGCGGAGTCTTGAGACGCCATAGTTAGCCGGGAGGCGGCGACTGCACCCTCCTACATAGACGACGTCCTTAAACTATTTGAGGTACTGTGGTTCGATTGAATGAGGCCAAGGGGTCGAACACCGCGAAAAGGTCTGAGTATGGGGAGGGGTGTTTGTAAAGTGAGGTGTCACATAAGAAAGGGAGTGTGTACATTAGGTCGTATATGATGCATAAGGATCGAAACAAGTGGAAAGTGGCAGCAACTGCAAAATGGGGGCAGGGGTAGAATTGTATGTGTATGAGTCGTGGAAAGGAGCAAGAACCAGTGTACGATAAGCAGGGAGAGCTGAAAGACTAAAACACGAAAGGCATAGAATCTCGGTCGGTGCAGCAATCGGACTAAGAAAGCAGGAAAGGAGACATTGCGAGATGGTCCGGCGAATGACGTTCTGGGAGGATAGACCTCTTGGGATCCTACCACCAAGAATATCAGAAGGCAGGGCCGAAATAAGCCTGCTGGCAAGAAATACGATAGGCAATCCGGTAATGGACTGGGTGGGGGTAGAGTTGGTGGAAGATACGGTGTACCTAGTAATGGAGCTGGAACGGCGTGCGAGAGGGGAGTTCGGGGGCGTAGACTTGAACCTCCCAGCGAGATCCTTACACCTGTCGGAAGAGGGATGGCGGACCTTTGGGATTGCTTTGCCTTCCAGGGATGACCCCGTGCGAATGTTCGATGGGGCATGGCAAATAACCTGGCAGGAGGGTTTGAATTTGCAAGCCCGGAACGAGATGACGTAACGGCGGAGGTAAAAGTCACCGCGGCAGGGGTTTTCGAGCTGCCAAATGAGGTTATACGGATGAGTCTACCACCCTTCCTGCTAAGACGAATGGGAGGCATAGAACGAGTGGAGCAGGCGGTGACCGCCGTAACTAGGCTAAATTTTAACGAGGCATTAATGTATCGAGAATACTATCGGGCCTTCCTAGAGATGGGGCCTTTCGGGGACGAAAAGGAAAGGGTGGTGCTTTGCATTCTATGAGCAGCGATAAATGTTAGGCCAGGAGTCCCACAAATAAGTGATGAGACCATGTGGAGAGTCATCCGGCAAGAGGTAGGTCGGGGCGCGACCTACATAGATGATCTCTACCGGCTGTACGAACAACCAGAGGAGGCTACTGCCCCCGGGGGTATAGAGGGATAGTCGGGACTAGAAAAGAGGAATGAAAACAAGAGGGACGGGGGAGCAGTAGGTGGACGGTTTCTAAGGATTGGTTGCAACACTTTCTATGTGGACTATGCAGGAAATCACCAAGGTAACCATGGCAGCAAGACGTGAGCATATGAAACTTCAGGCCCGTATGCGAATGGTGTGCCAACCCCGGTACCCCGGACCGCCCTGGAATAACGGGGGACGATGGGAAGTATCCCTCCCATCGAGTTCAACCTATCGGGTGTTCGATATAGAATGGCGGGCTGTGACTTTGGGGAGGGACGCCGCTTTCATGTTGGTGGAATGTCGGTGGACAAGGATGAGACTCAACCGGGGACCCGGGGACGATCTGTTTTCCAATCTGGAAGTTACCGGGACCATGTATCTGCTTGAGATCGGCTGACACTCGTTGGGGGTAGTGATAGCACAAGGTCACGAGCTGGCGCCGGTTTTTCAAAGGGCCGCCCGGACGTTGACCCGGATAGGACAATCAGTCAGGGGGAGAAGGAACGTAGGCTTACTTACCCGGGTGGAAATGGGGGGATGGCGCGAATTCAGGGCGCCAACCACACCGCTAAGGTGTCAAGTCCCCCGTTTCATGATAGACCATGTCTTCGAGAGCCTCTCAAGGGCACAGGAGCTGGCAAATTCGGCAATAATATGGGCAGACCACTTTCCCTCTCCGACTATTGGGATGTTCTATGATGTCGCTGTGAAACATGGGCCGTTCTGGGGAAACAGGGCCCACGAGTTACCGGAGGTCATCCATATCCTAATGTTTTGTGCGCCCCGGCCAGATTGGACAGGGTGCGAACGCATAATCCAAAGAGAAATCGAGATAGGAGAGAGTTATTTGGCAGGGGTGGCTGAGCTATTCGAGGAGCCGACCGAACCGGAAGAACCGCGAGGGCGCGAGCGGGACTAGCATCCGCAGGCAGACCAATAGGGCAGATCGAGTATAGTTCGATGTGTACGGAAATCCGCCGGTGGGAATAAGAAAGGGGGTCTCGGACCCGGATAGCTAAAACCCACTAGAAAAACAAAGAAGGGGGGTAGACTCTTGATGATTGATCATAACCCTGAAGGTCAAAATCAAGAAAACGCTGCTCGGGAAGGCTTCCCCTAGCAGGATGCCTAACCCGGACTCCTTCGCGTCGGCCGATGGGACAAGGGCACTACAAACGAGCTTGTGATAAAGGAAGCTCAGTCACGTTCATAGCTCGGCTGGGCGGCAGGGCCAGTCATGGCTCCTCCTTAAGGAAGGGCAATCAGGAAACGGGGATAGGAAAGGAGACTATGAAGATAAGCCAACAGAGCTGGGAGCCTAGGGAACCTAAAAACCTCGCATTGCGTGTGTCCTGCGAATTCTTTGGCTTGTGCAGAACTAGGCAAAATGACAACGAAGGAGGAGAAAGATAACCATAAGAGTGAAGGAGAACCAGGCTTCGAAGGCAGTGCCGCGCAGAGCAAAGGGGGGCTAAAGGACAGAGAATCGATAAATCGGGATGGTACCAAAGGGAACTGGAAGGAAATCTTCACAGGGGAAAGCTCGGGGAAAGCCGGGGGAAGCAGGCAAGGGACCCAGGGGACCAAGGAAGGCAGAAATAAGGATAGGACAAGCCTCCGAGCAGGCAAGGGACCCAGGGGACCAAGGAAGGCAGAAATAAGGATAGGACAAGCCTCCGAAACTCGGAAGGAGCCATGCCTAAGAAAGTAAGGGTCACGGATACGAGGCGCAGACTAGCCGAGATAGACAAGAGAACCGCGGAATACAAGGCAAGATTGATTGAGGAAATGATGACTCGAAACGAGGAAGGTCCTCTACAGGAGGAGCCCCGGAACGAACAGAAAGTCAGCCAAGGTGGGACTGGACAAGGGGATAAAGGTAGTGACCATGGGGGAACGTCGAGCAAGAGAAGGAAAGAGAGAGAGAACTCTCCGGGGATGGAAGCAGAAAACGCTACGACTCCGCCAACCATGGATAGTAGGGCTAGCCGCCTGCCGATCACGCCAGCAGTAGCGCGAGGATGCGAAGGACTTTGGAGCCTTAGGGAAAGAGTGTTGGGATGGTTTGACCCGGAAGGAACTATGAAAACCAGGGAGGGACAGAAGGCCGGCAAGGAAAATCTGGATAACAGTGTGGCAGGCGAGGCCAGCAGCTCCGAGGGCGGCCTTAAGAAGATAGGGTCGTCCCTCGCGCGAGCACTAAACAAAAATCAAGGTTATCTGGCGGACGCCAAGAAAAAGTTGACTTTCGATGGAGCCAAACATCACGGAGTTTCTAATCCACTACGAGAACCTAGCTGCGTTACTAAAGTGGACCGAGGAGGAAAAAATTGACCACCTAGGACAGCATGTGTCGTTAAGCCTAGGACGGGACATAATGGCCATTGTAGCCGCAAGCCGGTCTTGGAAGGAGACCCGGGATGTGATGATGAGGAAGTACCTAGCGGCAGAGAAAATGGCAACGAAGGCCGACCTAGCGGCAGTTCAAAGGAAGAACTTCGCAACGTACAATGATTTCCTACGGGAATTTACTCTAGTAGCACTAAGGATCCCCGGGGTCACAGACCGGATAATGAGCAAATATTTCCTCAGGCAGTTCTCCGAGTTCGACAAAGACAAGATCCTGTCAGCTTACCAACAGACGAGCAAGTTCGTAAACACGCGGGATGTTGATTTTAGCACGGTAACGGATCTGGCTGAGAAAACGGTAGTAACGGAGACGTTGGCCTTACTCAAGAAAGGAGAGGTCATAGATCTGACCGGTAGGACGGGCGACAAGGTAAAGAAGGGGATTGAAAGTCTACATGAACGGGTACACGGGGTCGACAATAAGATTGAAAGGATGGAAGGCGCGCTACTGGTTATGCAGGCGCAAGTATCCCGACCCGCTCTCCCTCCCCAGGAAGCTGTGGTTCCGCCAGGTGTAGCCAACCGGGGATTCGGACGGAGAGATCCTGCTAACAAGCAATGCAAGTACTGTACCGCGATAGGACATTATGTGCGCGCGTGCCCAAAACTCAACCATGATATTCTGAAAAGAAGGTGTACCAAGTCATTAAAGAAGGAGATATTTGGACCACAAGGGGAACGGGTGAACTGGAACTCGCCAGGAGGGATGCGGCGAGCCATTATCATGCTCAACGGGTTAGAAATAACAGCCGTAGAAGCCGAACCGGTGGGTGAGATCATCTGGGATCAACTCCGGGGGCGCGGACCGCAGACCAACTTTATTTTGGAAAGCGACGGACGAGATAGGGTGAACGCAACCACTCGACTGGGAACGGCCGGGAGAAGGATTAACCGTGATACCATTACGGAGGAGGTGGCTGGAAGCTCCAAACCCCAGGCAGAGGCTGAGGCCGAGGAACCAGAGAAAGTCTATGGGAAGCCTAGGGAAGAGGAGCCTACCGCCGCTAAGAAGAAGCTTAGGTATCAAATCCCGATCTTAACCTTGCCTGAGCTCGACGACACCATTAGCAAGTTACTAGGAACCATGATGTCGATGTCTTTTCAGACCATGCTGCAGGCTAGCCCTAGGTTGCTCAAAGGGCTCAGACAACTGTTGACTCGGAGGCGAGTAGAAATAAGCGACAACCCCGAATCACCAGAAGGGGAGAGGGAGGAGGAAGCTCCGCAAGAAGTGGCTAACCTACAGAGGAGTTACGGGGCCTTGGAGGATCTCGAGAAAGCTTTTGCGGACATTCGTTTAGCTTGCCCGACCGAGAGGGTGGCGAGGTCATGAGGTCACCACCCGGGACAAAGCTTAGCTTTCATGCGCTGCCCGTAGGGAAATTGAACATCCAGATCGGAAGTCATCATACCAACGCATTAGTAGACGGGGGAGCAGAAATCACTCTCATAAGAAGAGATTTCGCAACGATCGCGGACTGTACGGTAAACAAGGAAGTAACAGGGAGCATCCGAGGAGCTGCGGGGAAATCCCGTTCGTTGGGTACATCACGAAGTGTGCTGTGAAGGCAGAGGTCAAGGAATCGATCTGGTCGTTTTAGCGGATGACCGTAATAGAGGAAATGGACCACGACATAATCCTCGGGAGACCGTGGTGCGCGAACGTGGAGATGATAGGCATGCACTTGTACGATGGCTCATACATGGTAGACATAGAGGACCCTGTGAGGGCTAGGGAGAGCTCCTCCGACTCCTTGGAATGGGAGGAGACCCCCGAAGGGGAAATTGGCAACATGGAAACCGTCGTTCGAAGATAGCACGCGAAAGTGGGCTTTCGTACGGATGGAGGGTATGAGAGAAAGGGTAGAAATCATGATTGAGGAAGCATTCAACAAGAAGGAGTGAATCAAGATGGGCCTGCCCCAGAAGAAGAGGAGGCAGGAGGACGAAGTCCTAGGTGTTATGGTAGCGGAAAAATGGTCAGAGTTCGAACTTGGTGCTAGCTTGCCCAAGCGGAAAGAAGTACGCATAGACGTGCCAGAAATCGTACTCGAGATCCCCGATCTATTACAACTCATCAAGGCTCTCAGATACCACAAGGTAGGCGTGGATTCGGCAGCCTTGGCCAAGTTCGAAAAAGAGATGCAAAAGGGATATTGCCTGAATGAGAAACTAGTTAGTATTCAACCACGAGTCGTACAGGCGACGGAGGCGATTCCGACTGTTCATTTTTTAGGAGAAAGATCCTGGAAGGAAGTGTTCGAAAGAACAAGCCGGTAGGGAAGAAAGCGAAACCGGTCTCGATCCTGCTAGAGACATCAAAGGAAGAGGCTATGAAGAAGGAGGAAGAGGTCCTTCAAGTGATCCGAGAAAGAAGGGCGACGGAGGGACATCGGATACCAGACGAGGTAGCGGACACAATGAAGATAGGGATAGACGGGTTCTTAACGGAAGAAGAAACCCGCCTGATCAAAAGGACCTGCCAGAAATTTTACCTGGCATTTGTTTTTAGTGATCACCAGAAGGGACGATTAGATGCGAAGTTGATCCCTCCGGTCAAAATCCACACGGTAGAAGATGAGTGTTGGAATGACAAGGGGTCATCCTATAAATTTGGGATAGTAGGAGAAGTAACAGACCTCCTCCGAGCGAAGATGGACTCCTTCGTTGCGGAGACTACAGCATCGCCATACGCAAATCGGTGGTTCGTCTTTCGGAAGCCTAATAAGATACTAAGGTGGATTCATGACCTGCAGAAGTTGAATGTGGTAACCATCCGAGATGCTGGCTCGCTACCTCAGGCTGACTTATTAGCAGAATCGCACGCCGGTCGGAGCATTTACTCCCTGATAGATCTGTACTCAGGGTACGACCAGGTTCCATTGGATGTTCGGGACAGGCCATACACCACTATGCACACCCTCGTACGCCAGCTACAGATGCAAGTGACACCCATGGGATTCACAAACGCGGTAGCCGAAGCGCAACGCAGGATGCTCGCTGGGGCCGGGGACATGTTCCCAGAAAAATGTGAACCTTATATCGATGACAATCCGATCAAAGGCGCGCAGGAAAAGGATGAGACGGAAGTCCAGCCAGGGATCCGACGTTTTGTGTGGGACCACCTGTAGGACATCAAGGACTTACTCCGCCGGTTCTTAGAATACAACATTACGGCTAGTGGACCAAAGAGTATCCTACCAGTACCGGAGGTAACTATACTAGGATTTCGTTGCGGTGCTTACGGCAGGAAGCCGGATCCGGCAAAGACCGACAAGATATCACAGTGGCCGACACCGCTGCTCACGACGACGGAGGTAAGGGCATTCCTAGGCGTAGTCGGCTTTTGGAGGATCTTCATTAAGAACTTTGTCAAGATTGCTGAGCCTATCCGGGCTATGATCGGGGAAGAAGGAACCATGGATTGGACGGAGGAGCGAGAAGGAGCTGTCCAAAGGCTCAAGGACATATTGACATCTGAGACAGTCGCCCTGTCCGCGCCTTGTTTTAATGACGAAGTAGGACGACCCTTCATCCTGAAGACGGATGGAGGACCTTTGGCCGTAGGAGGTGTGTTGATTCAAAGGGATGAGGGAGGAAAAGAGAGGCCGAATAGGTTCGAAAGTAGAACCCTGAACTCCGCAGAACGGCGGTACTCGCAATTCAAGAAGGAAGTCCTAGCCATCCTGCATTGCCTTAAGACCTTCCAGGCCGACCTATTTGGGAGGCGGTTCATCTTAAGGATCGATCCGACGAATGTTGCAAAGGCCTTAAAGAATTACAGGCCTATAGATCCGATGGCGGGGAGATGGGTAGGATTTATCTGGCAGTTCGATTATAAGATCGAACGGAATGCGGAAATTAAGAACAAGGCTGATGGGCTGAGCCGGGTCTGCATCACTCTTGAAAGGGTGGAGGATGCGGAGCCCATAGACGCGTTCCTCGAATACGAAGGAGGAACTCTCGCGGTGGATAATGAAATGATGAGCGGAGAATGCACCTCGGGAGAACTATTGATCCAGATTTTGGAGAAGGGGGCACCTGCCGTAGTAGCAGAACTTAGAGAAGGACCAGTCACCACTCGAGGACGCAGAGAAGAGAAGGACTCATGGGGAGCGATAGTAGGACCGAAAGAGGAGCTAATAGCAATGGCGGTCGAATGAGGCCGGGAAGCTGTGATGAGCTTAGTGGAATCTTGGGAAAGGAAAGAGTTGCGATGGGTGGTAAGTCAGATGCAGGAAGGAAAGGATGGGGGCAAGGAAGGAGAGGATTTTTTCTATGTCCAATCATACGAAGGGCTCTTTCGGGAGATCGGTTTGTTGTTGGTAGGAAACAAGCAACCTACGAAAGTCAGTATTAAGACAAGAGAAAAAGCCGAAAGGTACTTCCTAAGGGGCGGGCATTTGTTCCGAAGGGAGGAAGGTGCTATGCCCAAAAGGGTTGTATGCGAAAGATCTAGGCAAGTAGACGTTATCCAGGCAATGCATAACGGGTTAGTTAGAGGTCATCGGTCGCCCAAAGGAACACTTGCAAACATCACGCCGCTCTATTATTGGCCAGGCATGGCAGGCATGGTCGCCACATACTGCCAGACTTGCCTCATTTGCCAAGAACGAAGCTCGGTACGAGTCTTCGAGCCGCTTAGACCAACGCTGGTGCTAGGGCCGGGACATTTGGTCCACCTCGACCTTGCGGTCATTGCCTATATCAACGGATGGGTACAGGTATATCCTGGATGCGCGAGACAAGTTGAGTGGGTTCGTAGAGGCAGTCGCCCTCAAGAAAAAGACAGGGAGGAGTGTGGCGGACTGGATGGAAGACTTCTACTTAAGGCATTCGTTCGTCAGGACGTTTATAGCAGACAATGAGACGGAATTTGTGAACCAAGAAGTACTGGGGATGCTTAAGAGATTTTGCGTACCGATCAAACGCATTGAGCCGTATCACCCTGAGGCCAATGCACATGTGGAAAGGGGGCACCGAACCTTGAAGAACACGATTGCAAAGCTCGCAGCAGACCATCTGGGAACAAGCCTAGGTATCTTAAGCAGGTTGTCTTTGCAGAGAATATGACTCCTAAAAGGACAACAGGATGTATCCCGACAGAGCTTTGGTACGGAAGAGAGATCGACTTTCCTGTGGAAGCCTTGGTACCTGCCTGGAATAGGTTAGATGATGATCTGCAAATGACCACTGAAGACTTAATCAAGGCAAGATGTCAACAAATCCTTAAGAATGGGAAGGTCATGGAAGACATCGTCAGTCGGGTGCTGGACACCAGAATGAGGGACAAAGCAAGGTGGGACCTGGTTAAGAATGTCAGAAAGGAACCACTTCAGGTGGGGGAGATGGTATTGCTAAGGAACTCGGCACTAGAAAGTACTTGGTCGGGACAGTTGGGAAGGAGGTTCAAAGGCCCCTACCGGGTCGCCAAGCGGGTGAGACTGAACACCTTCGAACTGGAAGATTTGGATGAAACTGGATTGAAAGGGCCCTTCCCGGGGCAACGACTGGTCAGGTTTCTAAGTTGGGACCCAGTGGATCCATGGCTTCAGGAGGCCGAAGATAAGGAAACAAAGGAGCCACAAGCTAAAGACTGACCACAACATTGCCCACACTATGGTTTGTCTCTGACCATGTTCGTGGGACTGTCATTTTTTTGGGACTGACGCTTTGGCTTTGACTGACTTAGGTTGAAAGGCAGCATGACTTGGGGGTTCGCAATAGCTGGCTTGCGTGACAACGGGAAGGGATGTTTGGGGCATTGTACCATAGTTTTTTACGGGAAAAAAATGGGGTCATCACAAACGACGCATTCGCATGTATAAAAGGGGCGTGATGTAAGGGACACCGAGTGCATTTTGGGAATGTCTATCGGCCTAAGGGGGGGGGAGGCGCGAGTGTGTGAGGGACATTGCGGGTGTTGTTTTGCTATACAGGGGTTAGGAGTAAAACGAGAAAAGACAAAAATGGAATTCGGCAACGAGAACGACAGCGGGGCAATTAACAGGCCTACCGGAGGGGAAGAAGCTGGACCAAGCCAACGGAGGAGGACAGCGAAGAGAAAATTGTACATTGGGCTCATGGGCGAGCCAGTGGTAGGCAGGGGTGGAAGAAAATGCTTGTGTAGGAAACCCTCACCCCTCCGCGAGGGAGAAGGTATAGAAATATCATCTGACAGTGAGGGCGAAAAAGGAAGGACAAATCTGGAAGAAGGAGGCAACACAGAAATGGGTGATAAGGCTCGGGTCTCTAACGAGGAAGGGGTCAACAGGGGCGAACCACGTGAGACTTGGCATGGGGAAAGCGAGGGGGGACAAGGTATGCGCGACGAACGTGAGGAGGACAGGGAGAAAAGGGAGAGCCCGCTTGAAGGATGAAGCGGTCACTGCAGTTGCGAAGGGTATGGGACGGGGACAGAGATCCCTTTCACCTACGATCCCAAGAACCTTGCTGGTGGGTATAGCCCCATACAGACAGAAGACGAGGGGGACGAGGAGGAGGACGTGCGAGAAGTCATAGAAATCAGTAGCGGGGATGAGAAGGATGAGATCTCGAGGCCTAGGGAAGAGGGGCGGCCTCCGATGCACCAGCCGGGCGATGGGGCCTTCAGATAGGAGGACGAGTTTGGATCGACACCCAATCATTGGTTTCAACAATGGACCAATGTTATCAGACACGAATGGATTGTCAAGACTCGGGAACTCGCGAGGGCAGGGGTGGAAGCCACACTACTAGATTTTTTTAACAAGGAAGAGTTACGGAAGATTGTAAGGATAAGGAGAGAAATCGAGACCTTTGGCCTGGGGGTTAGACAGCCGGTTGAGGAACAGGGTGGACCAGGAAGCAAGCAAGTTGAGGCACAGGACAACAATAGGCATTAGATGTTGATTGAGTGTTGGAAAAAAATCCTGGTTGTATTTCTCAATTACAAAACATTAGAGCAGAGTGTGTATAGTATGAGTAAATTTGCAAATGGTGAGTGCTAGAAGGGTCAGCTAAGGCTGTGTCGTGATAAGATTAGAAGATAGTTTTTGAGGCTACTTTTTTGGATGAGCTACCTTGGGTACATAAGACAAAGACATCGGATTGGGATAAGACCAATTGGGAGAGGGTGTATTGTGAATTCTGGATGGAATAAGGATTATGCTTTTGAGATGGGGAAACCTTGAGTACAGATTGACGAGTGAAACATGGCATTGAATGATTGGTCGAGTACAAGAGAGGTTAGGGAACCTATGGGTTAAGGGGCGTGAGGAACACTCCTTCCCTAGGAGCGTAATCCAACTGAGTCATGAATGAGACTAAGAATAGCCGAAACCCGAGTGATCAGGAAGAGTGAAAATGGAAGGGGCGCCTTTGTCTTTTGTTATGGATGAACGGCCGGGTAGGCTAGTGCTGCTTGGGGTCGCGAGCCCCAACTCGAGTACTAGACGCTAAGTCGGATGTACGCATGGATGTTACATTATAGTGAGAAATGGAATGGATAGTACATTACTGTGAGAGAAGGAAGAAAGCGAACAGCACGCAAAAGATGAGATGGCCACCTTCTAACCTCCAAGACAGAAATGAGATCCGTAACCTCGAGGCCCACCCCCTCGGGCACTAACATTGAGAATGGAAAGGAATGGTCCTAACGAGGTTGTTCGACTTGAGAATGGAAAGGAATGGCCCTAACCAGGCTGTTCGACTTGAGAATGGAAAGGAATGGCCCTAACCAGGCTGTTCGACTTGAGAATGGAAAAGAACGCCCCTAACCAGGTTGTTCGGGAATGACCCCTGACAAGGGTCATTCCTTTTGAAATCGGCACTGGGTCCCCTGCATATTTGATTGAGAAAGGTTGATTGAGAATGTGTTGGAATGAGCAAGAAGAGATAGAAAATGACGGTGGGTCGGTCATTGAAATAGCCAATGGGATGAATGGAAAAGATTAAAAAGGCCGGTGGGTCGGTCATTGAAATAGCCAATGGGATGAATGGAAAAGATGGAAAAGGCCGGTGGGTCGGTCATTGAAGTAGCCAATGGGATGAAGGGAAGAGATGGAAAAGGTCGGTGGGTCGGTCATTGAAATAGCCAATGAGATGGACGGAAGAGATGGAAAAGGCCGGTGGGTCGGCCGCTGAAAGTGCCAAAGGGGCAGAAGAAAGATATGAATGAGGAGGACGGAATAAAAGAGGCGGAACCTTAAAGCCAAGAGGGGCAGGGACCGTTGGGATGGTCACAAAGATTGGGTGTTGAGAAATGAGAATTGAGGATTGGATGGGCGGAAGGGTCAGCCTTGAGAAATGACTATTGAGAGAATGACAGTCAGACCGGCCGTGTGGGTGACCTTGTTGAGGAGAGGCTGACGGACCAGTTATGAGAATCAGCCTTGGAAATAGCATTGGATTGAGTGATTGAGGATTGAATATTGCATTGCATAGTCAGGGGACCCTAGGCAACTTGAAATGGACTTGGAAATAGCCTTGAAATGAATTTTCTTTTTTTCTAGTCTTTGGCCTCAGCAGGAGGGGGGATACCAGTGCTCGCACCCCGACCTCAAGACCTCTATCCCTGTAAGGAAAAAAGTCTCAGCGCGACCTGTTCCTCTTGTAAGAGGATGAGGGTTAAAGGACCAAGGCACCTACCGCTTGGATCGGTGCGAGACGTCCGAAATTGACCTCGACAACGAGCCCTAGTCGGGAAGTTCAAGTTGCGCCTCGTGTTGAACGCCTAAACATCAAAGGGTGAGGGAACCAAATGGGCGAGAGAGTCATTCTTTTTTTCTAGTCTCGTTTGTTCTTCCCAACCATACGCCATGTCGTTGAGGGGCGGCATGACCGCTTGGAATGGACCACGGCGGCTCGCGTTAAGTTGAGCAGCACTGTCCAGAGGGAGGAGTTGGGCGTGGTACCGGGTGGAAGCCACAACCAGCACGGGTCATTGACACCGCCCCGCCAGAGCATTACAACCACTTCGGGACTAATTGCGAGGTCTTCGTAACTGCACTCGTGGACTAATAGAGAGCCCCTACTCTCTTGAAAGGAAGAGGCCGGATCCAGAAAATTACCACTCGAGAGGAACAATTCGCGAGGAAGCCCTTACGGCAAGACTGGGTCCTGGGAGGCTGGGACTGGACCTGCCTTCCAGATGTGAGGAGGTACCTCAGTAATGATGCCCACCTCGTAAGCGGCAAGAGGTCGGACGGAGTAAGGGGATGAGGTGAGTTATCAGCAGGGGGAGGACTGATCACCCTTCCTTTTTGGGGATGATGGGCCGGCATCCGCCTACTCGTTGGTGGGCCAAAGGTTGCGTTGTCGGGCGCAATCGGTCAGGCACCGCACGGGGGCAGCGCGGGACCCTCCCGGCCGCGTCACGCAGGAGTTGGTTTTCAATCATTCGTCGCGGAAATACATGGAGCTTCCACAAGCCGCTCCGACCGGGTGCGCCAGCCATACCTCTCGCGAGCCCCTACGACAGGATAGGGCCTACGCGAGGCACGACTTACCTACACCTTACGGGAGCTGT